CTCCTAACTAACTCTGGACTTTACATAGACCCAATAAGAGCTGTTCAATCAAAAAACAAAAGAAAACAAAACAAAAACCAAGTAATGATGGGAAGCAGATATGAAGAACCAGTTCACCAACGAGGACATCAAGGAGGCTAAAACACCCATGACAAAATGCTCACTGTCACATCTAATGAGAGAGATGCAGATTAAAACTGCAATGAGACACCGTCGCACACCTGTGAGAACAGCACATATAAAAATACCCCCAAGAACAAGTGCTGGAGAGGATGTGGAGAAAAAGGAACCCATGACACTCTTGCTGGGAATGTAAACTGGTGCAGCCATTGTGGAAAGCAATCTGGATTTACATTAAAAAACTAAAAATGGAAACACCCTGTAACCCAGAGATCCTACTCTTGGGGATCTATCCACAGAATATGAACCATCAACAAATAAAACCCCCCGTATGTTCTGCAATATTCAGAGTAGCAGTATTGACAATAAATCAAACATGGAAGCAGCCTAAATGTCTATCGACGGATAATTGGATCAAGAAGAAGTGGTATATCCACACCATGGAGTATTATATAGCCATAAGAAAGGATGAACTGGGACAATTTTCAACAAGATGGAGGGAATGTGATAGAATTATGTGCAGCAAAGTAAGTCACAATGATAAAAACACATACTGGTTATTTATATGCTAGACAATTTGATAATGTAAAACACTTTCACAAACCGGTGGGTGTTAATAAACACTCTGAGGGCTCTGAGGTTAAGAGGGAGGTGATGGAAAAGCAACAAGGGGACACAGGGATGGTGGTGGGGAAAATTATCTTAAATACACTAGTAAAATAAAAAGAATTGCTTAGTGTTGTGAAATAAACTGCATATTAGCTGTTAATGCTTTCAGCAGGAACACGCAGAGTTAACACAAGAAACTACAAATGCCTACAACTGTTTGTCTACTTCAAAGGACTTTGTGGCCTCCAGCCTGAAGAGGGGGGCAGATCCTCTTGACCAAAAGGAGATATGAAATTGGACAACATCAACCAGAAGGTCATTTCAGGGCTCTCCAAATGGAGCTCAGCTGCGAAATGGAGAAGCATTTCTTTTTTAACGGTTGCCTTGAGATGCCTTTAACATTCCATAAAGTTAACCTGTTTTAAGTGTAGCATTCAAAGGTATTTTTTCGTATGTTAATGAAGTTATGCAAGAGAAGTGTTTCTTTTGGAAAACCTGTGTCCTCGGGGAGAGGGCGGGAGTCTGTGCTCTCTCCCTGGAGCTTCCCTCTTTACTGGCCCAGTTTGGGGCTGGCCTTGAACCTCACTGCTTTGCCTAGAGAGGGAGACAGGGGCGGAACACCTGAGCTGTGCCAGCCAAAAGCTGCAGATTTGGTAAATGGCTGGGTAAACAACACTTCCATTTTATGAACTACAATGAAAGAAAAGCATTACTCTGAGTGAAACCCGCAGCTGATGGTGCAACACACCCCCGTTTCAGAGATGTCAAAATGTGAGTCTTAGAATGGGTGAGATATGGGAGGAGCGTGGGCAGGGCGATGGAAGGCGCGGACGAGGCTGACCTTGACTTGATGCGGCCGATGATGGGGGTGTCATCAGGTAAGGGGTTGGAAGCTCAGGAGAGAACCTGGCGTGTAAACACAGATTTGGCGGTGTCAGCCCACAAGTGGGATCTGGAATTGCAGGAAAGGATGGGATGGCCCAGGAGGGTGTGGACAGAAGGGCCTCTCAACCTGGGCCTCATCAGTCGTTCTGGGCTGGGGGCTGTCCTGTGCATAGTAGGACATTTAGCAGCACCCTAGCCCCTAAGCCCCTTTACTCCCTGCTCATTGTGATGAGAAAAATGTCTATAGAGGCTGCCTGATGTCCCAGGGGGAGTTGCCCCCACCCATCCTATTCCGTCTGAAAACTCCTGGCATAGAGGGAGGCCAGAAGGAGAGGAAGGAGCCCAGGGACACTAATAAAAATCCTAAATTGGGGCCTCCCCGGTGGCGCAGTGGTTGAGCGCTGGGTTGCGAAGCTGCCCGCGGCCTCTGCAGCGCCTGTTCGATTCCCTGCTGCTCCCCGGCCACCGGAGGAGGGTCCCACATGGCGCGCAGACCTCTCCTGCCGCCCGCTGCTCCCCTCAGCAGTGTACTTCGGTCCTTCTGCCTGCTCTGCTCCCCGCTCTGGCTCTGGTGAATTCTCTCACCCTCGTGTGCTTCTGACTGTACCCAGTGCTTGTATAAATAAATAAATAAATCTAAAAAAAAAAAAGAATCTATTTAAAAAAAATCCTAAATTGAAGGGATATATGTACCCTTATGTTCATTGCAGCCCTATTTACAATAGCCAAGGCATAGAAACAGCCAAGGGCAGACGAGTGGATCAGAAAAACGTGGTACACACGCACGCACGCACGCACACACGCGCACGCACACACACACACTGGAATACTACTCAGTGATAAAAAAGGACGGACTCCCTCCCCCTGTGATAGCAAGGATGGCACTGGGGAGGTTGCTAAGAGGGGTAAGTCCGAGGGAAAAAGGCAAATGCCGGATGGTGTCGCTTACATGTGGGATACAGAGAAACAAAACAAAGGGGCGTCAAAACCAAAGCACCAGCCGACTTTTAAGCCCTGACTACAAAACTGAGGCCTCCAGCGGGGGAGGGTGGCGCGTGGGAGTCGGGGAGGGGAGGTTGCTGGGGCTGGTGGTGGGCAGGTGTGGAGTAGACATTCGTGGAGGTGAGCGCGCATGACCCCAGAGCAGCTGCGAAGGTGTGAACCTGCTTTACCTCAATGAACATGATTTGGAACGAGAAGAAGAAAGGTATTCTCGGAGAAAGAGAAGGCGAGACAACGCGGGCAGCGACCGGGGGGTGGCCGGCTCCTCTTGTGTCCTTTCCTGTCACTCATTTCCCACCATGTTCTTCGGGCTCACAGACAGCGAGTGGGGGTGCCGCACCCCAGCGGCCAGGGCGGGCTCTGCGGCCAGACTGCCCGGGGTCACATTAGCTTCGCGATCCAGGCCTCAGAGTCTCCTCTCTCTCCCCGGCCCTCTCTCTCCCTGTCTCCCGCCTAGCCCAGTCCTGTCACGGTGCTGCATGGAGAGCCAGGCCGCTCCAGATGGAAAACCATTAAAACAGGTTCTTATTACTCGTCACGATGGACACCGTGAAGCAGCTGTTTCTGATCCCATGGAAAACCCCCATTAATCCTCTACTCCACCCAGAGCCTCCAGGCCAGGGGCCTGACATCCTGGCCCCTCAGGAAGGACCTGCTGGGAAAGCAGAGTTCTCTGTGCCTCTGGCTGCGAATTTCAGAGGATGCCCGTCAGGGGAAGGCGGGAAGCTTTGGGCATAGATTCCACCTCCCCTGAGACCAACCCCCACCCCCATGAACCCTGCACCCTTGGCTAAGCTCCTCGGCCTTAGGGGGTAAATATCACCCACCTGAGAGGATTGTTGGGCGGCCTCGATGAGATCATTCGGATGTTTGCTTGACCGGCACCCACAGGGCAGCAGTGCCCGGCCAACGCTGTGTCCAGCAGGTCTCGGGGTGCAGGGCCACGGCGTGGCAGGCGGTTGGACAGGGGACGCTCAGACCCCAGTGACGGGGATGCATTCCTCAGCAGGGCCCGGGAAACAGGACCCCTCACGCTGATGGCGGACCGGGGCAAAATGTTCATAGCAGGTGCGTGTGATGGGCCGAGTCCAGAGCGCAGCCCCGAGATGCCGGGGCCACCTGGGCGCCCGCCGCACCCCAGGAAGGTGTAAGGGGGAAGTGGGCTGCGGAGCCACGGGCCAGTTGCACAGCTGGAAAGGGGACCAAAGGGGTGGGGGGCTTAAAGGGACAGCTGCAGTCGGGATGGAGGAAGGAGGGCGCCTTTCAGGGACACTTAGCAGGGTCTGAGCGTTTTGGAGGAATGGAGGTCCCGATCCTCAGGCATCTGCAGCTGGTGGTCTCTGCAGGAGCCTCCTGGGCTTGGGGGTGCTACCTCCGCTGACCGTGGAGACCACGCTAAGGACAGGACAGTGAGGACAGGGGGAAGCAGCCAGACTGGAGAAACTGGACAGTCCAGACATTGAGCAGGGCAGCGGGGAGCCCTTCAGAGCCTGGAAGCTTGAGGCCGTGTCTCTGTGGGGGGGCGAGGGGGTGGCGCTGAGGGAGGCAATCTGTGAGGGCAGAGAATCTACCAGCTTCACCGCAGAACTTACCCCAACCCCCCCGAGTGCTCAGTGTTAGTCAACGGTGGCCGTGGAGTGAGGAAAGCCCACGGTGGGTTAGGTGATGCAGGTCGGGCCCATCTTACAGAGAAGCGGAGACACTTAGTGTTTTGCTTCAGGCCATACAGCCAGGAAGTGGCAGAACCGAGACTCAAGCTCAGGTGTCCGGCCTTGGCCAGGTCTCTTACCTTGAGGCACTCTGCTGTTCCCCTAGGCGTGGCCCACTGCCTCCCCACCCCCACTCAGGAACGCGACGTTCCTGCTTGCCAGCTGCAGGGTCCAGGCAAGCATTTCACTCTTTGAAGCTGTCCTCTCCTCTGAAATGGGAATAACACTGGAGAAGCACAGCTAGGATGTAAGCTCCTGCGCGCAGGGCCTTGTGTGTGTGTTTTGTCCCGCGTCCTGCATCCTCCCTGCTAGAGGGTGCCTGGTCCTTTGGAGGAATCCACGCGGGAGCAGCACCCGGCTCTCCAGCCCGCTGTTCCCCAGCTGGACCACAAGATGGCAGCAAAGGAAAACAGGTCCCCAGGACAGGGTGGGGAGTTTTGGGGTCTCCCGGACACCCAGAGTCCTGGACCCTGCTTAGGAAATGAAGAGTTCTTGCTGCCCCTGAGCTTCCTGGCCAGCCAATCCGCCTGTTCTGCTCCCCACTCTGTCTCTGGTGAATCCTCTCACCCCCCCACCTCTGGCCTGTACCCCAGGTCTTGTCTACATAAATAAATAAAATTAAAAATAAAAATCCTGTCCTTGATTTTGTGCATCCAAAGACCAATGATACCATGCTTGTTCTAAAAAAAATTAAACCTTTTATTAGTATATTTATTTTATATATAAAAGAAATACAAAAAAAAGGAACACAAAGAAAATGCTTTCATGGCAAGTCGGACTTGTCGGGGCCTTCGGAGTGGGCTGCGGGCCCTGACCCGCTGGGCGCCAACAAAGTCCGCCTGTTGTAATGGCCTTTGATGATGCCAGTGTTGTTGTTCTCGTTAAGCAGCTGCTTCTGCCGCTGCCTGTTGAGGGACTGGACCAGGCCCAGGACCACCGCGGCCAGCGAGTACTGCCCGGGGAGTCTTCTGGGCGGCAGGATGAACGGGTTGGGCTGGACTCTTCCCAGGAGAAAGTACGTTTTGATTTTCCCTTCTTGTTCGCTGATGCCCTTCACGTAGATCTCCCCTCGGAAGTCAAAGGCAAAGCCCTGGTCCTTCAGGATGAGATAGGTCTCCTCCGGCACTTGGATCCTGCCGCTCACCCCCGTGCTGTCCATCCGGCTCGCCAGGTTCACGGTCTTGCCCCAGATGTCGTACTGTGGCTTTTTAGCCCCGATAACGCCAGCTACCACCGAGCCGTGGCTGATGCCTGTGAGAGAATCAGGGGAGCGAGAGGTGAGAGGAGGGAGCTCACGGGGGAGGGAACCTCTCTCATCAGAGGTGTGTCCTGGGTCAGTTTCTTAACCTATCTGGACCTCACCTGTCCCACCTGGGCGTGGAAATAAGAGGATGAAATGGACGATGCAAGTAAAGTCACTGGCCTGGTCGCCGGGGGTGCGGGAGAGACGAGCATTATTCTTGCAGGGATGCTGTTTATCTCGGGGGTGGAGGGGTGGAGGGTGGCGGACAGGCCCAGAACAGGAGCTGGACCCTGGGTTATCCTCCTGGTTCCAGTGCTCTGAGAGTGTGCGCAGACTTTTGCCTTCTCTCTTTCAGTCTAGCCCTTAGCATCATTCCCTTGGTCCATGGCGATGCCCTCCTGTGGGGCTCCTTGTCTCTCCAGCCTCCTGCAGACCACCGTCCCCACTGCGGCCAGGTGGGAAGGGTCTTCTGACGCACCTGTGATCCACTTACAACCCAGGTACACACCTGCTGCAGCTCCTTTGCCTTGAGGCTAAAGCCCATGCTCCACAGAATCACTCTCAAGGGCATTTCAGGTCTGGCAGTGGCCTGATGTGCCAGCCTCATTCACCAAACTCTTCACCTCGGCACTGCGTGCGGACTGACCTGCTAGGGCCCACACCTGCCTGCCCTTCCCCACCTCTGTGCCTTGGTCCCCACCCTTCTCTCTGCTCGGACTATTATTTCCTCCTAATCCCGTAGTTCATTTACCAGGTGCCTTGTAAGAGTGTCAACGCCTCCTCCTTTGTGCAACAGGGCTCTCTTCTGGAATGACGGTGTTTCACTAACCAAGCTAGCAGGCGTGTGTCTCCTCCTACTACACTTACAATCGCTCCTTCATCTTACAAACATTGACTGCTATGTACCAGGGATGCGATAGGGAAGAAAAGAGACATAACCCTGCTTGCCTCCTTCTGGGGAGAGACAGAGGAAAATAAAAGAATAGACTATAGCCTCAGCGGGTGGTAAAGACTGTAAGGAAAAGCCAGTCAGGGTGGAAGGAAGGTGAAGGATGGCAGGAGGTGTGCTGGACAGGGTAGCGAGGAAAGGCTTCTCCAAGCAGAGCCTGGAAGAAAGTGATGGTAGAAGTTGTATAAAATTTGGTTAGATCATTCTAGGTGGAGGGAAGAGCAAGACACACACATACGCAAACACACACGCAGACACGCACTATAATTGACTGAGATTTGAGAACCGGATCCCACAGAATGCCTGGGACCACAGCGATGGACAGAGCTTTCCAATCTGCAGGGCATGTGCAGAGACATCACCACAGGTGATTCTCATGTCTTCGTCATGAGCCGGGTGGGGGTGGGGGGGAGGCAGGGTGAGCCCAGGCCCAGTTTATACATGAGGAAACGGACACTCAGAGGGTTGGCACGAGTCGTAGAGCTGCTGGCAGCAGACCCGAAGCACAAATTAAGATGCCCAGCCCAGGGGGAGATAATTTTCTGACCTCTGAGCAGGGCTGCAGTGCAGCACAGCACCCCAAGGGTTGGCCTGGACCTCTGCAACAGCCCCTGAACGTGTGTGGAATTCCCCTCTCAGCAGGCTTCAAATGCTGCTTCTTATTCTTGGCTCCACTGTGCATGTACATTCGACGGACCATCCCACCCACCCAAGATCAAAAACATAACCTTGGGCATCTCTTACTCGCTGAGCAAAGGCGTGTAGTGCTCCTTACATCTGACAAGTCAAATATGGGTGTTTCTTGATGTTTTTTCCTTGAGAGCTGCTCAGGCACAACCACATAAGGTGAAAGGTCCCTCAGCCAGCGGTTCTGAAATGTGAGGGCCGCAGCGGAAGTTCCGATCCGCAGTCAGGATGTCACTGGTTTCGGTCAGGAAGTGAGGGGCGCGGGCTGTGCCATCAGCATAGTCTCTCCCCTGCTCTGGGCCTGGGGGGACCCTGTATTAATGAGGATGTGGACTGGGCTCTCAGAGGCCTCGAGGCTCAGCAGAGTTGCCAAGGAAATTGTCATATTCTTCAAGTTACGAAGGGCTGATGCTCACAGAGCCAGGACTCCCGTGGGGCCCCTTTCTGCCAGGGGCCTCCTGGCTCCGGGGCAGGCCGGCTGGGTGCTTCCGCGGGCAGCTCTGAGCTCACTCCCTGTCCCTGGTTCAACACAGTATCTACGTCCTATGGAGCAACTGGCTTTGTCCCAAGTATTATCTAGAAGAACCCAGACCTTGCCACACGTTCCCTGCCATTCTTGGGTGACAGACAACGGAATGCAATGATGGCTCAGTCAGGTACCTCGCTGAGCAGGGCCTTGCATGGGTGGGACAAACGAGTTGGAAGGAGGTTATTAGGGTGGAGTGTTTGCTTGTCTTTCTGCTCACAGACCAGCGCCCTTCATGGCTGCCAGTGTCTGGGTGAGAGAAAGTGCAGGAGAGACCCTGAGCCGACCGTCCCTGTCCGTGCAAGCTCACCCCACGTCTGCTGCACCTTGCACGAGAAGCTTCCCTGGCTCGATGCCAGGACACGAGGTGGGCTGATGGAGCAGAGGGGCCCTCCCTGGCCACCCCTCTGGTTGCTACTCACCGATGCGGAGTTCGAAGTTGTTGAAGGAGTGCTTGTTGATCTCCTGGATGCTCTCGGTCAGGGCGAGGGAGAAGTCGGCCAAGGCACACAGGTGCTCCCACTTGTCCTCGCATTGCTGGAGCAGAGGGGAGAGAGGTCGCCACTCACTGGGTCAGATGTCCTCGTCCGCAGCAGCGCTGCTGTGTCCCCCCCCACCCGCACACCCCTGAGCGGGGGTTACCAGGCGTGTGAGCCCCCGTACCATCGAGTGACCCCTACCCACTGCATCACACTCAGGGGATTTGCTGGCCTGGGTTTTGTTCATCAAGTGACGAGTGCGGCTCAGCACGAAGCCTAGAGTTCTCGGTTAGAAAGAAGGGTCACGTCATCCAGGAGACTCGATCGACCCGGGAGCAGCGCACATCACACGGCCAGGAGACCCAGTTCATCCACCCGCCCCAAGCCCCATGGCCTCCAGCGACATGACCACAGTGAAGTCCCTGCCAGAGGCTTTGGTGGGTCCGGAAGCTCATTACCTGCTTTTCAGGGGACAGGCCGGACACGGCCATGTAGGTGCTGCCGATGGTCTTGATCTTTTCAATATCTTGAAATCGGTCCTCACCGAGCAGCTGGAACAGACCCAGACAGTGGTGTTAGTCCTGGGATGATTCTTCCAGCAGCCTGGGGCGCCCCCAAACAGGCTCCCAGGGACTTGTATCCAGGGTTACTGTGTTTCTCTCTGAGAATCATGCATCCGAGCCATCAACGTACATGTAGTGAGCGTCTACTGGGTGCCAGGCACTGGGATGGGTGCGGCCAGATACTCTTTAAGGAACAGGTCTGTTTCTATGGACCTTTGAACTAAACAAAGCTCTTTTATTAGTTTAAAGAAGAAATCACAAATGTGCCCCAATCCACCAACAGATCTTTTTGGCTTTGCTCTCGACTTGCTTTTGGAATCTTAGTTCTTGCCTGCCACACCCTGGTCTGGGCCACTGGTAATGTGCCCCTAGCTATGTGCCTGCCTGCTCCTGCCCTGACCTCACACCCCCCGCAAGGCCGCCAGCGGGATCCTGTTCGGATGTTATTGGACCATGGCCCTGCCCTGTGCGCAAAACCCTCCTGGAGATGCCAGTGCAGTGAGCACGAGTATGGCCAAATGATTCGGAGTCAAAGAGATGTGACGGCCCCGAGTCCTCAAGCCCAAGTCTTGCCTCGTCACCCAGTGTGTGACCCTGGGTGTCCCGGTGTCTCCGAGTCCCAGCTTTCTTTGCTTATTTACAAAATGAGACCAGTTCAGGTCCTGTGGATCTGGCATTTCAAAAATGTGATATATTGACAATGCTTTGCTTTTGTGGCAATGCTTGGCAAACATCATAGAGATTAGTAAGATAAATGCTGGGCTCCTGTCCCAGAACCAGTGGTCCTAGGGGAGGCAAATATTTAAGCTGAAGGGTTTAAATATCTGCAAGAGCCTGATGGAAGATTTTTCAGAATATATGACTTTCACTGAAACCAGAGTGACCACATTTGCCCGGGGAGAGGAAGGATTAGAAGCTGCCACAAGTAGCAGTGAGGTTTGAATTGACTGTTAAATGAGTACTAGGTTTTCCACTGGTCCTGCAGTTGCGGGCAAGAGGACGGGCAGGTGAGAATGGCATACCTTCTCGAGGCAAGGAGCAGTGTGTGAAACGGCCACGTGGGTTTGAAGGACTGTGGGTACCTGCATGGTCCTGGCTGGCAGGCAGGTGGCATAAAGTGGCAGGGAAGGCTGGAGAGGGTGCAGGGTGAGAAGGGCAAAGGTGACCTTCTGAAGAGATGGTAAAGCGATGGGTTTTGGGTTTCAAAGGGATGTGCCAAACTACTGCTTTCAGTGGTTGGTGATGAGAGGCAGGCAGGAGGGCCGTTGGGAGATGACTGTAGCCTTGAAGGTGAGAAATTATAAAGCAAGACCCAGGCAGCACTGCGGTGAGATGGGTCGGGTCTGAGAGCTAGGAAGAAGCAGCCGTTCACAGCACTGGACAGCTAGATGGACATGGGGACCGAGGGAGAGGATGCTGTTGGGGTGATGGCAGTGGTGATGGCAGTAGGCGCTGGTGATACCCTGCTTAGATCCGCTTGGAAGTCCTCCATGGGCTGGCTGCTCACCGTGCCTTGCCGGACCCTTTCTGGAGAATGGCCTGGGTCAGTGGGACCCCTCTTGTGGGAAATGCCTTGGAAGTTTAGGCACCACCATTCCCCAGAGAGGCCGAGAGCTGATGATGACACTACATTGCCTTGCCGCAGTGAAGCAAGTCCAGGTACTCCTTTCGCTCCTGAGCTCTGTGGGGGGTCAGGTTTAGATCTCCGACCAAAGGCTAATTCATCACCTTAACCTCAGGAGCAGGTGGAGAGACGGCCCATCGGTGCCAATCTCTGTGATGCCCGGGCCTGCATGGCACTGACCTCTGGTTTGGTCCCTTGCTGGCTGGGTGCACTGCGTAAGTGACTGAGCTCGCCCGGGGCTTACAGTCCTGATCCCCCACGTGGAGAAACAACAGCATTTATTCCGGGTAAAAACTGCAATCCTCCCACTAGATAACGCATGCTCAGGTTTATAAGGCAGCTGAGAATTTTGTAAGTACAAAAAGTGGTTATTGCTGCACTGACCATAATTCTATGACAACCACGAAGCTCACTTGTGACTGTCAATTTCTGAGTTACCTCGTCGAAGTCAGCAATGATCTCATTCAGCAGGCGCAGGCACTCCACTCCTTGGTTGTTCATTTCAGTCTGAGAGTAAAAGTCTGCAAAGCCTGGGATGGAGGCGAACATCACCCCAACAGCATCGTAGGACTGAGAGTACAGCTCCTGGGCAGAGACACACCGGGGAGACAGAAACAGACAGCAGACAGGTGAGGCCGTGCAAGCTGCTACCTGTGTGTACAAGCACCTGTGCCACGCACAGCGCTGTCTGTTGGTCTCAGCCCATCGATGCTGTGAGCCAGCCCTTGGGTTCTTATAATGGCCGCAAGGTGCCCTTTGGGGACACCATTAGGAAGTCTTGGAAAAAAAAAATAGGAATTTTTTACTTATAAGACCTGGAAGTCACAGCACACCTGGGCCACAGTGAGGTCATGGGAGAGAGAGAGGTCATGGGAGAGGCAGAGGGACAGTGTTTTGGGTTTGGCTTTTGTCAAGACTAAGGGTAGGCATTTTAGTGTTTTGTGGGCTTACTCTACGTTGGTGAATTCAAATCATAAGAGCAAGGAATTTAAGGGATGGGACCAGAGACAAAGAGAGAAGAAGGAAAGATGCAAATGACCCAAAAGACCAGCTTCTAAATCACCCAGGGTCTGCACAATGCAGCCTCAGCGGGGAGGCAGCCTGGCCTTGATGGAACCCCGAGGCTGCGGCTGCTGTAGGGCATCAGCCTCTGTGAAGGGGGCACTTGCACTTGGCTCAGGCACTTGCATTACCAAAAAAAGAGAAATGTCAACACTGGGAGTTTACAATGCACACAGGTACCCCCAGAGAAGACAGAATGGGGGCTCAGACCACAGCATCGTCATCATTGAAGACTCATGGTCCTCAGCTCACCGGGAGCCAGCATCCTGACTGTCCATCTTCTGGGTCTTGGTCAGCTTCTTGTGCTTGCTCTCGATGGCTAGTCCAAGCCCCTGCCTCTCTCTGGACTAAATTCCTCTTAGCAGATGATCTTCTTCTAACTTCACTGAGAAAATGGAGGCTCTCGGCAGCGGGCTGCCATGCTCAACAGTCACACACAAACCCACGCTCATGTTTATTTCTGTTCCCTTAGCTTGAATGCCAGATGATGTTGGTGTCACTTCCAGACAAGTATCCTGATCGATGTTTTCTTTCTCTTGCTGAAGGTCAATGCTCTTCCCGATCTCGACTCTCTTCTAACTTCAACAACTTCTTCCTACCGTGATTCTTTTATTTCGTATTTCATTCTTCTCTCCTCCTCAACGAAGTGTCTTCTATAAGGAGAAGCCCAAAGTACCCAGGGTCCTGAAACACTGATCACTGGGTATTTTCTCTTTATCCTCATCCAAACTCTCAAACTAGTTGTTTTGCTGCCTATTGCCACAGGGGGTTGGAGAGAGGGATTTATCTCTAGCTCTTTATCTCAGGCTGAGATGAAATGAATCTGGAGCAGGTGCATCTCCTGGAAAAATCGGATTCCTGCCAGTTCCTGTCTCAGGCCGGCAGCACAGGGGTGCAGCAATCACTCCAGAGACCCTGGTCTCTTGGCCTTCTACGCTTTAGTGGCGCCACATGGTTTTCCTGGTGGGTGCCCCCTCCCCCCTGCTTATCATCCACCTTAAATATGGGTGATCACAGTGGTTCTGTCCTCAACCCGCCGCGTGGCTCCAAGTTTCCACGCATCCTGTCGTTTGCTCCCAGTCTTCACCAGCATATACGTGATGGCCTCTAAATCCCTCTCTCCAGCCCAGTCGCCACCTTGTCTCCACATGTCTGTGTCTCATGCTGGATTTTGCTCACCAAACCGCACCTGGATGTGTCTTCCCTCCACTAAACCCATTCCTGCCTCTCATTCTCTAACTCAGTTGGTGGCACTGGTGCTGCCAAGTCATCAAAGTTCGACGCCCTCCGAGTCATCTTTAACTCTGTCTTTGCCATAAAATCCACAGCCAATGAATTGCCAAATCCCACTATTTTGTTTGTATCTTGAAATTTTTTTTTGCCTCTCCCACCATTGCTTTTTTAAAATCAGGTCCTTCCTTATTTTCTCCTTGGCCTCTTACTGGGTTCCCTGACTCTAAGCTTGCTCCATGTGGAAGCCAGAGGGATGTTTAAAGATGGAGTATTGATTCAAACTCTCCCATGCTTAGAATCCCCCACCTTTGCCATCACGATGAAGCTCAAACTCAGTGATGATGTGCACTCGTACATTCCCGTCCTCACCTCCACCTAACTGCACTCTCCCTGCCTGCAGCGACCTGGGCTGTATCATGTGTTCCAGAAACACCGAAGCATTTGTGCACACGCTGTAGCGGGGAGTGTCTGGCTTGCTTTCTCTCACCCAAGGTCCAGCCAGCAGCCCTCCTTGTTCTTTGCCTGGAGTTTTTCCGGCCACTAGAGGGCACTCCGGCCACGTGCGCTGTGATCTGTGGGATGACATTAATGCATCTCCCCCCTACCCCCCACAAGTGGTTCTCAGCAGTCACTGATGGGGATTGGTGTCCATTCCCTAGCGCCCCCCGCCCCACTTGGGTCAGAGAAGTTTGCAGTACGTTTTCTACACCATTTCCCCAAATTTCCCAGCGCGATTAAGCTGAAGCCTCTCATAGAGGGAGCCTGTCTGATCATGGAAGGCCTGTCCCTGCTCCCCTGCCTGCCGCCCACGCCCCTGCTTATCTGCGCTGCTTTTTAAGTAAATTACTTGTACTGGAGCCCTTATCTCCAGGTCTGCTTCTGGACACGCTGCTGTTGTTTCGTACTTCAGTGCTTTTATTTCTGCTGCCCGCCCTTCGGTGGGACATGTCTTGCCGAGGTGGCCTCCCTAACCAGGCTAGTTCTGTTTTCTGTCTTCATAAACCTTCTTAGTCCCAGAGATTGGGGTCAGAGGCTGAGCTGGGTGCTGTGGCAGCGCCTGAGCAGCAACACATTCGCCTTTGCTGCCTACCCCATGGTACTCAAGTCCATCTCTTCCTTTGCTTGTGGCCTTCGTGAAGGCAGAGACCCAACACATTCACCCAGTTCCTCAAGTCATTCAGTTAGTAGTTCTGGGACGCCGGCAATATTACAGCCACCCCATACAAGGTCTGGTTCAAGGCTCTGGCTCAAGACAGAGAGGAGGCAAGTCATTGTCTTCGATCACACAGTTAGGGCAGAAGAGACAAGGCTAGGGGACCTCAGCAGTCTTCACCACACACTCTTGAAGTTGCCTCCTCTGCCTTCATGTCCTTGCTTTGAGGAAGACGGTATCACAGATTCATGGTCAGTCTTGAACTTTAAGTGTGGCTGGATCTGAGCAGAGATCTGCTCTGCTGACCCCATGAAGTTTATCATCCCTTTTTTCTCCCCAATTATTGCCCCAACAGCAAAACTTGGGCACATTAAGATGATTCAAGGAAGGTAATTTACAAAGGGCTTAATTAGGATCATGAGGACAGATTGTAGGGACCCTTAAGAAATCCCTCAAGAACCCAGGGCCAGTGGTAGTAGAGCTGCCATCCCCATGAGCTTAAGGGAACATGAAAACCCCAAAAGGAGTGAATTGGTTTGACATCGGGGGTGCACAGCCATGGCCGTGATAGAAGCTGTCAATTTCTGTGGACACAGCCAGGCTCAGGGGCTCCCAGAGAAGGGAACCAAGGAATAAATATCCTGACCTTACTTTATTTCCCTCTCCATCTGTTCTTCCCAGCAATCCCCCCGGGCAACCCTCAACTGGGTGCCAGGATGTGTGTGCAGTCGCTGAGGTAGCCCAGGCAGGTCAGCAGAGCAGGGAAAAGGCACACATAAGAGCTCCAGCCCCCTGACCACAGCTTTGGAGATCTTCCTCCATTCAACTCTCCTCAGTCAAATGCTTAGAGTATGTCATCTGTTTCTTGCTATTTTGGACTCAAGGAAGAGCAACACTTTGTAAAATGGGGAGGGATCCATGAATATAGAAAAGCTATTATTGTCTTATTGTCACAATCCTCTGGCTGTTTGTACAGGTTTGGGCTTGTGGAGGATTCAGAGCCTATACAGGCTTCTGCCCCTAGATGCTGAGGAGGACTTTGGTCTCCAGTTTGCACTGGAAGCCACAGTCCAGCATTCACCTGCCAGGACTGTCTGATTTCTTACACTGTCTGCAGGGGAACAACAAAGGACCTTACTAGGATCCTGTCACATCATTCAGGTCTCCATTCCAATGTCACCTCCTCAAAGACAGACTGACCATGATGACTTCCAGTGTAACATAACATTATGCCCCCAGGATTCATCCATAGGGGCCTCCCTAGTGGCGCAACGGGTTGAGCGCTGTGCTGTGAAGCTGTCTGCAGCCTCTGTAGCACGGGTTCGATTCCTGGCCGGCCAGGGAGAAATTCACATGGTGCGGCAGACCTCTCCTGTCCCGCCCGCTGCTCCCCTCAGCAGTGTCTTCAGTCCGTCTGCCTGTTCTGCTCCCTGCTCTCTCTGGTGAATTCTCTTACCCTCCAGTGCCTCTGACCTGTACCCCAGCTCTTGTATAAATAAATAAATCTTTTTTAAAAAATAAATTTCATTAAAAAAAAGATTCATCCCATGTTTAGAATGCATCAAATTTTCCTCCTTTTAAAGACTATAATATTCCATGGGCTGTTTATACTATAATTTTATATTAGTGTGTCCATTCATCTGGGTTGCTTCCATCTTTTGGCTACTGCAAATATGAGTAAGCCATAACTCATTGAGCATCTGCTTTAAATTCTTTGGGATATAATAGATGACTGGATCAAGAAGATGCGGTTGTGGTACACAGACACAATGGAATACTACTCAGCAATCAAAAGAGATAAACTCATGCCATTTTCAGCAACATGAATGAAGCTGGAAGGGATTATGCTCAATGTAATAAGCCAGAAGAAAAACTAAAAATCGGATGGTTTTACTAATAGGAGGAATAGAGGGGAACCAAATAAGGGATCAGGAAAAAAAATAAAATACAAAATTAGCAGGCAACTATAAATCAGAGACATTCTGCAGGGGAGGGAGAGGGAAAGGGATCAGAACAGGGGGCAGAATGAGCACAAGGGACCATTATGATGGTGCGCGGGTGAACTGGTGGTGGGAATTTTATGGGAACTACCCCTGAGAGGAGAAAGCATACATTGTAAAAAAATGAACATGATATAAATTATAAATTAATTTTTAAAATAAATAAATTCTTTTGGGTATATACCAAGAGTGGGTTTACTGTGTGTGTATACATATACTTTATATATAATATATGAAATCCACTTCTTGTGTGTAACTATACACACATTTATAAATATATATATACACATACACACTCACGTGTTTAAACATGCATACACACACATAAAACATCAAAATTCCAATTCAGCCTTCCAGAGATCTTATTCTCATCCATTTTATAGAGGAGCAGTCTGAGGAGGAGGTTGTGTGCAAGTGTCACAGAGCTCTGCCGCCTGGGCTGCCGGCCGCGGGGGTGGGTAGGGGTGGTCTCCGATCTCCTGCTCACAAAGGACAGTGGAATTCTTCCAGAGCTTAGGATCAATATGTCCCACTGTATCCCGTCCACTGACACCCCTTCTTGCCCCGAGACAAGCCTGGGCTCACCTCATTGTCCCGGTCTTTCTCCAGGAAGTGGCGCGCCACGTGGCTGGGAAGGATGTTCCGGAGCATGTTCTCGTTGTGTTCCCGCAGCTCCTTCATCTCATTGATCTCCTCCTTGGCCTGTACGCGCCAAAGGAAGTCCAGGCGGGCTGTGTACTCCAGCTGCAGTTCATGTCAAGGAGAGAAGAGACAGGTTAAACGCTTGTGGCGTGGGCTGAAGCATACATGTAGGAGGTGGGGAAGGCTTTTCAGGCGATAGTCTGATGTGAACCTTCTGGAGGTTTTCCTGATTCAAGAGATCAGATTTCACAGGGCTGTGTACCTCCCCCTCCCGTGATCTTATATTATAGTTGTGTGTGTGGTAACCCAGCAATGCCTCTGTCCTTCCTCCACTAGATTGCAGGTGCTGTGAGGTCAAGGGTCCCTTGACTTGCTCAACATTGCATCCTCACCACACAGCAACACGTCAGCACCAGGTGGATGGTCAATCAATAGTTGTGGACTCAATAAGTAAGTTCCAACGATAAAGCCAGTTGTCACTTTCATGTGCTCATTACGTGCTGGGCATCGTCTAAGCAATGTACCTATAGTAACTCCTCCATCCACACAGCCTACAGGAAGATGTTATTATTAAGCCTTATTTTACAGGTAAGAAACTTAAGGCAAGCAGGGTTATGTAACTTGACCAGAGACACACACTACTTAGTGGGGAAGCCAGGATTTGAACTTAACTCTGAACCCAATTCCAGAGTCTGAGGTCTCAACCACTAGGCAGTAGGAAGAAATGAATGGACAATAATGGAAGGAATGTGGATTTTGTTGTTAGACAAATATGGCTTATGGTTCTTCGACTGGTTAGTTTCTCATCTCTAAATTGGGGAAAACATCAGTAACCACACAGTACTGGAACAGGAAGTGAGAGATAAAGCTCCTGGTCATAGTGGCACCCAACACGCATTCACTTCTCCATCCAGTTTCCCTTAGCTTTGGAACGGGGACAGCTTCCTTTCTAAAGAATGTGATAAACCAAATTTACCGCAGCTTTGGGAATGTCATTAATGTCGTTGGCTATTGAAATGAACAATTGCTGTCTTTTTAAACACACGATTAAAGTCCCCGAATTCCAGGGCTTAAAACATTCTGCTACTTTCTTTCTTTGTCTTATTTTAAAGCCCCATTGAATGGCAAAATTATGAAAAGAGAGAGGCATAGGTTATTCATCCAGCAGAATTTATAACAGCCCAAGCTGGAAACGACCCAAATGTTCATTTTGTGGGTTGAATAAGGTATTGTATATAGCCATAAAAGAGATGAATATTTCTTTTTACTTTGATGGGCTTGTGGACACCAGTGTGTGGAGTATGTCACCATTTATTTAAGAGAGATCTACTTCTCTCTTTTTCCATATTACATATCTATGTGTATATATATATATTTAAAAGATGTAAGTACAAACCATAAAAATGGTTACTGACAAGATGAGGGAGAGGATAAGATATGAGTCTACCTACTGTATGGACAAAATGACGTGATGCTGGAAACCAATTCTGAAATGTCTAAGATGTAGATCCATAAGAGATAACGCTACTTTAAGGCATCAGTGGACTAAGTCAGTGCTTTAAATTTTTCCCTCCAGATCTATGAGCATCAAGGTTTGATTTGTCAAGTTGCAACTATTTCCAAATGAACTCCTCCCCTTGGAAGGCATATGAGTAGCCAACAGGTACAGGAGAAGATGCTCAATATCACTAGTCATCTGGCAGTGCAAGTCAAAACCACAATGAGATATCACCTCACATCTGTTAGAATGGAAACTATTAAAGAGACAGGAAATAGCAAGTGTTGACAAGGATGTGGAGAAAAAGGCACTCTCGGAGAGTGTTGGTGAAAAGTATACTATGCAAAACAGAGTTTCCTCCAAAATTAAAAACAGAACTGCCATGTGATCCAGCTCCTCTACTTTTGGGTATTTATCCAAAGAAAATGAAAACACTAACAAGAAAACTTCTCCACGCCTCCATGTTAATTAATTATTAATTGTTCCAGCATTAATTTTAATACCCAAGATATGGAAACTACTTAGATGTCCATCAGTGGATGAATGTAAAAATAATATGGAGTACACACACCCCAGTGAATATTATTTAGGTATAAAAAGAAGAAAATCTTGCCATTTGCAACAATATGGATGGACATCGAGGGCATTATGCTAAGTGAAAGAAGTCAGACAGAAAAAGACAAATATCCTATGATCTACTTATACACAGAAGCTAAAAACAAAACAAAGCAAAACCAAAACTAAACAAACAAAAATCAAGCCCATAGACACAGAAAACACTGGTTGCCAGAGTTGGGAGTTGTGGGTTGGGTGACATGGGTGAAGGGCATCAAAAGATACAAATTTCCAGTTACAAAATAGATGTCCTGGGGATGTACTGTATACTGACTACATTTAACAATACGGTATTGCTTATTTGAAAGTTGCTAATAGAGGCTATTTTAAAAGTTCTCACTGAAGAAAAAAATTTTGTAAATATTTATGGTGATGGTTGTTAACTAGACTTATTGTAGAGACCACTTTGCAACATATACAAACATTGAATCATTATATTGTACAACTGAAAATAATATAATGTTACATGATGGTTACAGTTCAATAAAATCATGTATGCCTGGTTGAATAAGAGATTGTTTTTTATTTCTTTGCTTTGGAAATATTCTCAGTTAATTGAACCTAACTCAGAAAACACGAGCAGGGAGATTCGGATTGTTGGAGCTGATGGAAGCAAAGATTTTCAGTAATAAGAGGACACATTTTTTTATGTTCTGCACAGGCAGTGGCCGGTCACTATCTGAGACATACCCGTAATGAGATGTGGGAGCAGCTGTGACTTGCCCCTTGATAGAGAAGCCTCATGGACACCAGCGTCACATCTGGCTAGACCTCCATGGCAGGAAGTATTCCCCTTCCTTTTACCAAAGCTCCCGTGCACCTACTATGCGCTAGGCATTGGCCCTATAAAATGAGGGAAGCTCGGTGTCTGTCTCTGCTTTCCTTCTAGCTAAAGCGCAATGGCAGCGCACAGGAAGGAGAGAGATCATTTCAACACGACGTGCTTAGAGCAGACGTGGAGAGCATGGCAGAGCTTAGGGAAGGCAGGCAGGGCTCTGTGCTTTCCAAGGCAAAACTTCAGCATTTGCTCAGGAAATGTCACTTGAGTTGGAAGTGCACTCTCTTGCCCGATTTTTAGCAAACGATTAGGGGATGGCTCTATGAGAAGAGCGCCACGGGGACTCCAGGGGCATGGCTCGGCAAGCTCTGTGCCAGGCTCTCACCCCATGGTGACAGTCACGCTCGTGAGCTCTTGCCTTGGCCAAGACACTGTTCCAAGCACTTCCCATGCACGAAAGCTCCTTGACTTACACAACAACTCAGCCAGGTAGAGACTATATCACCCGCATTTCCCAGGTGAGGACACGGAGACAGCACGAAGTGCAGTGGGTTGGCCCAAGGTCTCCGGATGCAGTTCCAAAGACTGGCTTTGCCCTGGGGGGTGTGGGGAGCAGTGGGGGGTTTGCTCTGAGCTCTAGCTCAGCCCCACACTGCTTGTGCCTGATGCAGCCACCCCCACCTCTCCCTAGATAACTATTATCCTCTTCATTTTGTGGGTAGGAAAGGGAACTTTGGGGACTTGTGTCTCCCCAGGTCACCCACTCTCCCAGTGGCATTGCTGGGACTCAAACTTACAGAGAGAAAAAGCAGATGAACTGAACAAAACAAAAATACATGCAGGGAGGGGTAAACTGGGGAGAATGCCATGTGAAGGGTAGGTTGGGGCTCTTAGCAATGATCTTAATGTAACAGACGCAGAAGTTGTTCTCAACAGTGAACAACTGACACATAACGTTATGTGCAATGTCATTTCAATAAAAAGAAATAAGTAAATACAAAATATTTGGTTGTAAGATCTGAGTCTTTCCTTCTAAGCCACTCAATCCAGGTGTCTGTTTTCATCAGACCCACGAGCCTGAGGCCAGAGTTGCGACCTCACCCAGCGCCGTCCCGGGCACCTGCAAGGCTTCCTCTGCCCCAGATGCAGATGCCAAGGGAAGCCCCAAGCCCAGCTGCATGGGGCCAGCATGCTGGGGTGGCTCCCCTGCCCAGTGTCGGGGCACGCACCTGCCCGGGAGGAGGAGGAAGTGTTTGGCCTATCGTTTCCACATATTCACAGATGAAACTTCCCAATTTTTCAGTTACATAACCGCCTCCGCCACTCTGAGGAAGTGTAATTACACGCGCTCCCGCCAGGCTGCTGCTGCGTCCCAGGCGTCAAGGAGCATTATTCAACTTTTATTAAAAATAGAGGGGCCTGAATCATACGGGGTGACCGGGGGAAGCAGGCAGCAGAGCCCGAGTGGACAGGCTTGACTGGGGATGACAGGACCCGGGGGGTGCTAGGGAGAAGACACCAGAGTGACGCAATCCTGCAGGAACCCCCTGACACTCAGGGGCAGCCACTCACGATGCAAAGAACCTCCTAGAATGAGAGCATTTGGATTCCTGTTGGTCTGGCTTTCCTTATTAGCTCTGTGACCTCAAGTGACTTGAGTCTCTGCTCTAGGATAATAGTCCTTCTTGTTGTTCTCAGAGGTCTAATTTTAAAATAGAATAGCCAGAGTTCACAATTTGGGCCACTCATTCTATGTGCAAAGCACTGGAATAAATATAATTATATTCTCATGATAAGTTGCCAAAGCTCACATATTTCCAGTGGCAGAGTGGAACGTACGTGCTGTCACCACCGCTCCAGTCTGTACCTGTCACGGCTACAGCCGTGGGGTGTGATGCTGTGATTACAAAGTCCTTTGGAAGCTGAAATGTCAGCTGTCACTTAAGCTCTCAGACCCTCACAAGGCGCTTACATACCCTTGCTTTACACATATTCTTATTTTGATTTTCTGTTTCATGGGACAAAGGAAGAATGCAGGGAATTGAATCTGAACATTAAAAGATATTAAGGAAGGGGCATCGGCAAGGCCTGGGGAGCCAGGATCAGCCTTGTTATGGAATCAAGAGCCTCTCCACACTGCTCCCTCTTAGCTTATCTGAGAATTCTCGCCTGCCACTCACAGCCTGTGTGATGGAGTGGAGTTTTTCTGTGGGAGACCCTGTCTGACTCAACCCTCAAATGGGTGGTCATTTGCATGTCAGGCTAAGGACTTCTCCCTTGTAAGCAGAAGCCAGGAAGGCGTGGAAGACACGACCACAGCGCTCAAGTTGCCAGAAAGATCTAAACATAGGAAATCCGGAAATAGCTGGCCTTTCATTTGACTTCTTACTTCACCATTAATTCAGCTAAAAATTAAAAACCAGTCAAAGCCTTTCTGTAGGATTGAATGTCCTGGTTCCTTTCTGTCTGTCCTATCTAAAGAAGTGGAAAGGGTGGGCTTTGGAGACAGCTCTGGGTTTGAGTTCTGGCTGTCTTACTTACTAGCCGAGCAGCACTGCTTTCTTCATCTGTAATACGGGATGGGTGAAAATCACCTTTCCGGTTGTCAAGAGGAGTAAATGGAGAGGTGTGTAGTGGGAATTGGGTCCACATTAACTTTTTCCTTCCCCTCTTCCCTGGCTAAGCTTCTATTTTACTCTTTTCCCCTAACTACACTTCCCTTTCCCCATACAAGTGCCTTTATGAATGCATCTCGAAGGTTCTTGGGGGTTTGGCTGTTTCATCCCTGATTTCTCGGGGTGGTTACCTCCCTTGTTGCCATGGTGATTTCTCAGCGATGTATTTCTATTTCTGCTCTGATGGACAGTCTTCCTGTTTTGTTTTTCTTTCCTGGTTACTTTTTTTCTGAAGCACACCAGACTACAGAAAGGCGGGCTGGGATCCAGAGCAGGGCAGGGATGTGGCAGGGCCTGGCTTTCTGGGAAGTGAAAGGCCCCCCAGGCGGTGAACTTCCCCACAGTCACATCAGTAAACAGAGATGTCCAAGGGGTTCTGGAGAGCGGGGTGACCCCTCTGGGGGCCAGCCTTCCTTGCAGAATAATGTCCTCCTCCCCCAGATCTTGAGACCCACGGACAGCACGAATCCCACAGAACACGTGCCCGGTGGAGGACTCTAGGCCTCTCTCCTCCAGAGGATGGCGCCCTGGGCCTAGAGGGTTTTGCACAGCCTTACCTACCACTCCTGGGGAGCAGCACCTCACAGGGAGGTGGAATCAATAGGGGGGACCCTTTATCTAATGAGCACAAGGCATTGATGCAGTGCTCCCTCTACGGAGGAGAGGCAGGATGCAAAACAAAGTGTCCACAAATGGTTCTTCCCAAGAGCCCCATTTAGGTGTGGCCATCTTATCTTCAGAGAGGAGGAAACCACTGCCCGGATAAGTAATGTATCCAAGGCTCCAATGTGCCTGGGGCAGAGGCGGGATTAGAACCTGCCTGGCAGCTGATCCCAAACCTTCCCATTGACCTAGCACAGCAGGCAACTGCAACAGCAGTAATTTTATGCTGGCAGCAGATTTAGGAGGGATCTCAGCTTGCCTGAGGCATACATCCAAAGCTCTTATTTTTTAACCCAGCAGTGCTCTTTGGAAGAGTTACCCCTAAAGGACCTTAGCCCTATTAAAAAGCTCACCAAATCAGCGCCAGCGCAGGTTTTTATCAGGTGGTCTTTATTAGGAGGTGATTAGTGACCAATCACAAATTTGCTGCAAGCAGCTGTGGTCATTTACTAGCAAGCGCAGTGGAGGCCTCACAGGCCAGTTTTACGGTGTGCGGGATGCCAGTGACGGAGGGGAGGCAGAGCAAAGTGCTAGCATACCTGCTGTCCATGGTAGAACACAGCAAGGAGAAACATGGCCATCAGCAGCAGCGACGCCTCCTTGGTCCCCAGGAAATCTCTGTTGGAAGAAGAAAGGAAATGGCAGCCTGGTTACTGATACCAGGGAGGGCTTCAAGATGACCCCTGAGGAGACAGAGGCTCAGAGAGGTGTGGAGAGAAAAGAAAGAAGAGGATGTTTTTTCAGCAACCACTCACTCTGTGACAGGGTCTTCACACAGGCTGGCTCAGAAATCAGTTGGCCCTCAAGGGTATGAGGTCACTTAGGTCAGACCTGGTGGAAGAGTCTAGAATGTAGCATCTCTACCATGCACACTCATTAATAATAATGTCTTCTGTTTGCACACCACGTTCTGGAGTTCAAGGAGCTCTTATCATTTTCAACTCAATCCATGGGAATACAAGTGTCCTTCCTCCTTCCCTTCCTGACATCCTAATGAAGAGGCAGGTATGTAGCACCTGCAAGGTAGCACACCTGTTCCAGTGCTTTTACACTTAGATTCTTATATTGCTTCTGTGAGTTGGACACTGCTTTGATTCTTCAACTCTATGAGTTGGGTACTGCTGTTACGCTCATTTCAATTCTGCCATCTTTTAATAAAGCCTTTGTTCCCTCTGTGTCATCTCCTCTTGGAGGTACCATCCAACAGCCCATCCACAGTCTGTGTCAGCATACTCTGCGGTGTCACTGGCCTGACTATTGCCAGGAATGGCCCTGGACTTGCAAGGACTGGGCTGGAGAGCAGTTCCAGATGGCCAGCAACAAGTGTGTAAACACCAACATGACCTTCTGTCATGAATCCTTTGCTTGATTCCAAATGCTTCACTCTTGCATTCTGGCTCAGCAGGAAGCCTCTCTCAAGATGAGCTAACCCAGAAGGACTAAGGGCTTGGAAGAAACAGTATTGGGCATTGAATACGGACCTAGTTGGTTTGGCAAAGTGTCCACTGGTTGAAGCAGAAAACCTCCCCCAAGACAAGTCACCTCTATGGAGGCTGACACTCATTTCCCTCACCTCCTGCTCCATTTCCCCATGTACGCCCATCTTGGGCAATGTCCATCATCCATTTGGGTGCTTGAGTCAAAGACTCAAACAAAATTACCTTCACTGCCCCAGTATCTAGGTTCTGTCTGCTCTTGCACCAAAATTGATCCCCAGTACATCCACTTCTTTCCATGCCTACCTCCCCCACTGAGTACTACACCACCATGTCCAACATGTTGCCCTCCACCACCTATTATCTATGTGGCTCCCAGAATGTGTATCTTTTAATTACTAAAACCAAATCATATCATTTGCTTGCATTATTGCCTCCCAACCACAAGCACACCTATACTCAGAATGCTCACAAGTAAGTTAACGCTGAATTATTCATTCACATGGCTGTTTTTGAACAGGAGCTGTTGTATGGTTACTTGATGTGAATACAGCCTGAACTCCTGAGCCTGCAGGCACTTTTGATATTCTCTCTCTCGCTCTCTCTGATGCAGAAGACTTTCAAAGTCCACCAAGTCATCACTTAAAACATATTTTCAAGAGAAAGCATAAATTTCTTGAATGATTTTGTAATCAGTTGACCAAAAAATTTGAGAGAGATGATTAGAAGAGATGTATCCAATTTAGAAGAAAAGTGAAAGAAAATTATGAAATTTTCTCAATGGCCTTTGAGTCTTTAGGATGTATTTCAGTTGGGAAAAAAAAATATGGCGTGTGTAGAGATGGCAGAAGACCCACAGTGAGTGAGGCAAGGCAAAGAATGTCCAAAAAGGATTGTGATTTCAATTTAGGAGGGCTTTTTGTTGTTGTTGCTTCCACTCTTCTTTGAAGAACTTCCAAAGAAAATCAATGGTTGAAATCTATAGAAATCATAATGCTTGCTTTATATTGGCTGGCAAACACTTAAAAAAACAAGGATGTTTTAAAATAATTTGTTCTTACTAATAAAATCCCTGAATTAATACAAGTATCGTTTTTTAGCCACAGATTATTTTATTACAATCAGAGTGATCAGGGTACTAGAGTTTGAGGTCTAGGAAGGGAATTGAAGAATAAATTTTATAAGATGATTTCATCCTAGACTATAAACTCCATAAGGGATTGGCAATCTCAGTTTGAGTCATTCATATTTCTTAGCATCTAAACCAGAGCCTGGTGAATAATACTAGTATCTTCTTACACTAATAGAAAAGGACACAATTAGGTGAAAACACATGTAAAATAAATATAGATCTCAGGACTGTAACAGTTGTTAGAGATCATCTTATTTGATGTATGATACAAATGAATATTTAATTTGAATATCATCACTGCAGAAGTTTTTATGCTAATTGTGGTGAATGTGGAACCTAATAAAAATTCACAAGTGAAAATTGTCTGTAAGCCTACCACTCAGAAAAAAACAATGGTTACTATTTTTGGAGTCAAGTAAATGTCATCTCCATGCAAAAATCCATTTACAAAATTTAGGATTATATGGTTCATACTGTTTTATAACCTACTACTTCATTTAGTATATATTATAAAAATAATTCCACATAATTAAGCACTTTACAATGTGAGTTGTAGATCAATTTGTACTTTGTGCATCATATATAATTTAAATCCCTTGTTTTTCACAGGTAGCCTTTTATTTTACAGATAGAGACTAAAGCCCAGAGAGAAGTCACCTGCCCAAGGTCACACAGCTGACCTCTGTCAGAGCCAAGTTGAGAATTCACATTTCTGCACCGCATTCTGAGCTTCAGCCACAGGGCATGTGACATCAAACTTTTACTTCAGCTATCAGTTTCCATTTCCCCGCTTAAAACCCAAAATAAGACAGCCAGTTTGAATTTTTAATTCTGTTGCTCTACTTATGACCACAATTGTTAAATACTGATTTTATACCATCCTTGTTTCAACACTTCACAGATTTTGCCCGCTTTACCAGTCATTTCAACAATTATTATCCCACTTTAGTAAAGAAGACACTGAAATTCAGACGTTAAATGATTCTCTCCAGTTCACAGATGTAGTCAATGGAGAAACTTTCAGATCAGGGATGACTTTTCAGTAGCTACCATGTCTTCCTGCATGTCCTTATTTGTAATTGGCTTTCCCTTAAGCATCTTGAAGATAAAAATAATGTATTATTCATCTGTGAATCTCAGGACCTAGGAAAGCCCATGGTAAAGTTATGATACTGAAGTCTAAAAATAAACTGTGAGTATGGGGTAGGGAACACACAGTTTAAGGGTCACCTTTAGCAAAAATCAGACAAGTTGAGATAGAGGACATTTGGTTTACTGTGATTCAATGGTGTAATATGATTCCAAGTGAGCTAATGTTTCTTTCAATCATTGACTCATTTACCATTTTATTCAACAAATATTTAATTGGCAACCCATTGCCAGATGGCCAAAAATTGATCTTTGCCTTCATAATTCCCCTTTTCTAATGGAAGAAGACATGGGGATTAATGACTGCAACACAGAGATAAATGCTATGATAAAAATATTAAGGGCACAGATTGGAACATGAACAATGATCAGGAAGGTCTTCACCAAGGAGGGTGCCCTTGAGTTGGACTTCATCTATGTACCTGGCATGCTCATGTTATACATACCTAACCACCTAGGTAAACCTAAAAAGGACCATATTGCATGACAGCAAGAGAATATAGCAAAAAAAATTATAGATACAGACATAGCTAAATAATTATAACATGGACCCAAAGGATATACATTCAGCCCATTAGCGGTTGACTTTGGGAGAAAGACAACACTGGGAAAAGGAACGTCAGCGTTTTCTGAAATATTTTATGCTTTAAAAGTATAGAAATAAGTATTTCTAATTGTCAGCAGTGTTGATTTCTGGGGGGTGGTTGATAAGACTTTCATAACATCAGTGTCAGGCATGCTTCCTGAAGCTTCTTGCATTATCACTACTCATCTTTCCCTGAGCGCTGGCCGCTAGCTCTAGTCTCAGCCAGAGCCGTGGGCTTCCTAGGCCTCAGCCTCCTCAGTCTCACACTCAGTGCCTGGCTTCTCCCATCTCTTCCAGCTCAGATGAAGCTCCACGTGGCAGGTGTGGACTAGGACTAGGGGAAACGTCACGTGACGTCAGGGAAGTTCATCCAGAGAATTAACTGGGACTCATGGGAGAAAGGAGAGGGGAGGAGTCAGCAAATTCCTTTCCCCTCCTCAGATTGCGACAATGTCTCCTCCTTCCCACCTGCCCAGACACAGGAATTGGGCAGGTGAGCAGACCCAGCAGATGGTCCAAGGCAGTGGTTCTCTCTCCACAACTGACGGACCGGCATCATAAAGTGGCTTCTGGTCCTCTCCTTCCTCACTTTCCCTTTCACACACTCTTGTTTCCTGGTGTTGAGTTAGCACATCAGCCTGTCCCAGCCCCAGGCTCTGCTCTTCAAGGAATGTCAACTAAGATATGATTGTTTTTGATATTTCCACTATTTCAAAATGCAAGGAGCCTAGAAAGTGCGCAGAGCAGCGTCTGCAATGCGTGAGGCTGAGATTGTCGAGTTATCAGACCGGTAAGTCTGGGAGATGCTAGAGCTGAAGGGATCATACGTTATCAGGTGTAGAGGAGATCTGAGCTATGATTTAGTTCAAACTACAATCATTAATTTATCTGTAATTAATATAAATGATCAATTTGTAAAATGGAGATTTTACTCTGCCTGTGAACTAGCTGGTGTCTAAGCTGAGGAATATGTGGATATTCAGTCCATCCAGCGGTGCCTCTTCCCACTGGAAGTTGAACATGTATTTAAAAAATAAACTCTTGGGCCTCCCTGGTGGTGCAAGGGGTTAAGACGCAACCTATGAAGCTATCGGCAGCCACTGCAGCACGAGTTCGATTCCAGGCCAGCCAGGGAGCAACCCACAGGGCGCAGCAGACCTCTCCTGACTCACCCGCTGCTCCCCTCAGCAGTGTATTTCATCAGTCTGCCTGTTCTGCTCCCCACTCTGTCTGTGGTGAATCCTCTCACCCCCCTACACCTCTGGCCTGGACCCCAGTTCTTGTGTGCATAAATAAATAAATCATTAAAAAATAAATAAATAAACTCTTAGCATCCCCCCCCCCGCCCCCATTGAGGTAATATTGGTTTACAACACCATGTATGATTTAGGGGAATAAATTCTCACCTCCTCAGATGCATGTTACCTCTCCAGACCCACCATCCAAGCACCATAATTCCGTGTCCTGGACCATCCTGATTCTGTCCCCTCTCCCTCCCCTCTCCACCCCCCTCCCTCCCCTCCCCTCCCCCAGCAGCAACGCCCTGCTCTTTTGGACATTCAGCGGCCAGTACTCACTCTCCACTGTGGTTCAGGTTGTCGTAGCGCAGGAAGAGGCCGGCATAGAGGGTCTCGGTCAGCAGCGCGTAGATGGCGATCATAATCAGCAGCACGGCCAGCTTGAGGACAGAGTTCAAGCGCAAGAACACGGCGCAGGTCACCATGGCCAGCACCCCCGTGAAGACAAAGTACTGGAAACAGAGAACGTGGCGTCAGGTTCGACAGGGATGCCAGCGGCTCTTGCGGTGATGGGTGCCCAGAGGTCTCCTTACAGGGGCGCTGGCCGAGTATATCCCGGTGGAGGGTGAGGCAGGCCTCAAATTTAGTAGGTCCCATAGGGAGCTCTTCATTTTCTTACACTTCTCCAAGCCCCTATCCTTTATTTGTTGGGGGGAACCAGTCACACCATTCCCTAAGCCAGAAACATCCCATCCCATCTTTGTTGCCTTCCTTGTCCCCATATCACACAGTCAGTCGTCCCAAGTCTGTCTTTCTGCTTCCTTCAAGGAGCTCCCCTCACGCCAGCTTCTCCTACCACCCTGGTTCTGTGTTAGATCTCTCCTACAGTTTTGGAATAGTTTTCTGAAAGTTCTGCTCCCACCCTGTTATCACTCTCTACCCAGCATTTTTTTTTTTTTGGATTTATTTATTTATACATTGAAGAGCTGGGGTGCAGGCCAGAGGTGAAGAGGTGAGAGGATTCACCAGAGACAGAGTGGGGAGCAGAACAGGTAGATCTACTGAACTACACTGCTGAGGGGAGCAGTAGGGAGACAGGAGAGGTCTGCCACGCCATGTGGGTCAGCTCCCTGGCCGGGGATTGAACTCAGGTTGCAGCAGTGAGAGTGCTGAGACTTAACCCCTAGGCCACCAGGGAGGTCCCTCTACCCAGTATTTCTAAAGCACGAACATGATTACGCTGCTTTTTAACTCCAAGTCCTTTCATTGCTTTCCATTCCCTCAAATTATGTTTGTTTGTTTGTTTTTTTCCGAATAGAAAGTTCACAGGGTTTCATGTAAGAGATTTCCACTCATTTGCCAATCCCAGATGTGTCCCAGCCTCACTACTGGCTGCCCCAGTTTCTTTGCTCTCTGGTACCTCAGGGTTTTGCACCCCCACTGTCTCATTGCTAAGATCTCTTCCATGCAGGTAAACCTTACTCCTCTGACAAATGTCAGCTCAGGTGTCCCCTCCCCTGAAAAGCCTTCATGCACATCTCTGAGCTTCTGGAAATGGACTCGTTGCTGCAGGGCACCCTTCATAGCCCAGCCGGACATCTAACACCCTGTACTAGGAGCAGCTGTTCAAAGGGCAAGTGTGGAGCCACTCAAGGGCTGGGATATCTGAATGGCTCCTGCGTGTTTATCTGCTCAGCCACATTCCAGCTTCTATAGGAAACTCTTCAGTATATTTCCCTTAGATCAGTGTCCCAATCCATCATTCTGGATGGTAGGTTCAGATTATCTGTTGGGAGAAGAGAATAAAACTTGCATTATCGGTACTTTGATCTTTATATATGTTTTCTCTTGTAATTTTCCAAGTAGCTGGCCCAGATGGGAATCAGAATTCCCATTTTATAGGTAAAGAAACTGAAGTGTGTAGAATTTAGGTAAATTATTCCAGCTCTCATGATAAGAAAATGGCATGTAGGACCCTGGGGTTGAACCAGTCCATGTGACTGTGACTCTTATACTGGACTTGATCATTTCTAAAATCTACTCCAAACTTGTTATACATCATCATCATCATCATCATCATCATTATTTTTGTAACAACTGGCTGCCTTCTCTCTCCTATCACAAGAACAGACACTTTCTGTATGGGCAGAGGAATGGATAAGAATTTGTAAAAATTCCTGAGCAACACATGGATTGGAAGAATAAACATTATTAAAATGGCCATCCTACCAAAAGCAATATACCAATTCAATGCTATTCCAATCAAAATTTCAATGTCATTCTTCAAAGAAATAGAACAATTATTGATGAAATTCATATGGAATCACCAAAAACCCCGAATAGCCAAAGCTCTACTGAAAAAAAAAGAAGGGAATGGAGGCATCACACTCCCAGACTTCAAACTATACTACAAAGCCATAATCATCAAAACTGCATGGTATTGGAACAAGAACAGACATACAGACCAATGGAATCGAATAGAAAATCCAGAAATAAACCCACAGATTTATGGTCAACTAATCTTTGACAAAGGAGCAAAGACTATGCATTGGAGCAAAGAAAGTTTGTTCAATAAATGGTGCTGGGAAAACTGGGTTGCTACATGCAAAAGAATGAAGCTTGACCACTACCTCACACCATACACAAAAATCAACTCAAAATGGATTAAAGAACTAGACATAAGACCTGAAACCATAAAATACATAGAAGGAAATATAGGTGAAACACTATGTGATTTGCATATCAAAGACATCTTTACAGACACATCACCCAAAGCAGTGATAGTGAAGGCAAAGATAAATAGCTGGGACTACATCAAATTAAAGAGCTTCTGCACAGCAAAAGAGACAATAACAAAAACAAAGAGAAACCCCACCAACTGGGAGAACATTTTTGCACCCAACGCTAATGATAAAGGACTGATCACAAAAATCTGCAAAGAGCTGATGAAACTCAACAACAACAAAGAAAATACTCCAGTCAAAAAATGGGCAGAAGAGCTGAAAAGAAACTTCTCTGAAGAGGAAATGCAAATGGCCAACAGACATATGAAAAAATGTTCAACATCACTTGTAATCAGGGAAAAGCAAATCAAAACTACCATGAGATACCATCTTACACCAGTGAGAATGGCACATATTAAAAAAACTAGCAACAACAAATGTTGGCAAGGTTGTGGAGAAAAAGGAACTCTTCTGCACTGTTGGTGGGAGTGCAAACTGGTCCAACCACTATGGAGAGCTGTGTGGAGATTTCTGGACCTACTAAACATAGAGCTTCCATAGGATCCAGCAATTCCACTCCTAGGTATTTACCCAAAGGACACAGAAACATCCATTCCAAAGAACACCTGCACCCCTATGTTTATAGCAGCACTATTTACAATAGCTAAGCTTTGGAAACAGCCCAAATGCCCAAAAATAGATGACTGGATCAAGAAGATGTGGTACATATATACCATGGAATATTACTCAGCATTCAAAAAAGATAAACACATGCAATTTGCAGCAACATGGATGGCGCTGGAAGGGATCATGCTCAGCGAAATAAGCCAAAAAGAAAAAGAAAAATACCGGATGGTCTCACTCATAGCAGGAATCTAGAAAACTTAAATAAAGGATCAGGAAAAAGAATAACTATAAGAAAGTGAAAATCAAAATCAACAAAAAACTGTGAACCAGAGACACTTTTTGGGGGGTGGGGGCCGGGAGGGGAGGGATTGGGGTCAGAATGGGGCATGTGCAGTTGTATGGGGGAATATAAAAATAAAATTTATTATTTAAAAAAAAAAATTCCTGAGCAACAACTGAAGACATGTTTATTGTCTTTTTAAGTCACATTGGCCCATTCATAGACCCTTCAACAGACACCAACCAATGTGGAGAGAGCAGCCTGAACACCCCTGAGCGTGGGATGGACTCAGTAATGAGCAAGGAGCTGACTCTGCCCTTGGGGGGCCCGGTGTCTGAGTCATCCCTCACTTTTGTCTCTCCTTTTCCTAATAAATGCAATTATATCCTTGTCTCAAATGGATGATAAGCTTTCAACTGTCCTTTAATATCTCGCCTTAGTAAGAGTTTTTAGGTCTTTGTGCAGACTGTGAGTGAAGAGAAGTGAACAGGCAATGGCAAGTTCATCCTCCAGAGTTCACTTTCTGCATCCAGAGAAACTCTTAAGACCACCCCCCATTTTAACAAAGGAAAAAGGAGTAGATCTGAGGGTCCTGTTTCACTGTGACCTGAATTATAACAAAGGGCTGTGCAGTGTTTTATCAGTGCAGATTATTAATCATCTGTGGGGCCAAAAGTAGTTGAAATTATTGTGGTCTTGAGCAAAACCTTATGAGTGCATAACAAATAATTCAAGTTTTTTTTTTTTTTAATTTTAAAAATGTCATCAGCATTGATTGAACGTCTACTGCAATCAAGGTATGGTATGGGCATTGTGGACTTGAAGGTAAAAGATGGTTCTTGGTCTAAAATATGAAGCAGATGCAGGAACACCTCTGCAATAACCCATGGAAAGTACTCTGCCTCTATGGAGAACACAAGCACAGGGAAGGGGGGAGGCTTATAGGACAGATGAGTTTGAACTTGACGTAACGGATGGGTAGGATTTCACATAGAGAAAATGGAAAGGGAAAAACATTCTGGGAAGAGAGAATGACATTAACTCAAAGGTATAATGGAACAGATTTATAGGAGAATGATTTCTTAGGGTACATTAGAGACCCATTTAATTAGTAAGGAGAACTAGTAAGTTGGAAATGCGCTGCCTTCCTTTTTCTACTTAAGACTTCGGGAGGTATTGTAGCTAACACGCTCACACATTCTACTCCGGTGTGAGGTACACCGATGCAGGAAGGCTGAGAGGAGGCAAAGCCACATTGCAGAAACTTTTGTGTGTCCTGCTGGGGAGTCTGCACTTTATTCTATAGCTCCAAGGAGCTATAAACAGGGTTCATGTTCGTAATGGGTTCATTAGATCACTGCTTCGGAAATAAACAACGGTAAGTCATCCAGGATGGATTGCAATGAATGGAGAACTGCAGCCTTAAAAACACGATTTGGGTACTACCCAACAGACGAGGAATCAGAGCTTGTACAACAGACAAATGTTTCTAGGCACGTTATTCTGGAAGGTGCTTTCACCTCTGCAACATGCATGCATCTTCCACTCAGAAGAGGAGGAGGAAGAAGGTTCTTCACATGATAGGACATGAAGAAGCCATGAGGATCTACCAACATGAGCCATCCTCACTGTGCCCATTTGGTTGCTACCAAAAGCCCATTATGAACTCACAGGACAAGAAGGAAACAGAGCAGTCAATTTTTAGAAGTCACTGTTGTCCAAAGAAAGAATGGAAACTTTCAGAGAACAATGCAATTCTTGGTGGTCACCAACATATAAACAATTGGTGAAGCCAAGAGATTGATATTGCTATGAAATTGTGGTCTGTTCAAATTTCTATTCATATACTGTTCACACGGTTATGCAGAAAATCTCCTGTTTGAAACCAAAAGACTCATGCATTAAAAAAATTTGTTACAGCCTTATCTGTTTCCTTAAATTCAAATCTACCATTAAGCACAACCCATTTTCTCCTAGTTACCAAAGGCCTGAGAGGAGAGAGAAACTAACATTTAATGAATTCTATGTATATTATCACTATTTATCATGGAAAGTTTTATGAAATAGGCATTATGAATTATTCCTGTAGATGGATGGGGGAAAATGCAGCTCAGAGAGGTTAGGTGATTTACACAAGGCCACACAGCTAATTACTGGGAGAAGAATTCTTTGTCATGCAAACCTGTTGTGTTTCCTAGGCTGATCAATAACCTCAAAGACTTGGCATCTAAGCCTCAATGAGGTAGAAATTGTTTTCGAATCTCATGGTGATATAATGGCTCTCTATTTGATTGGTTTCATCTTGGTGGGGAAAGGCAATTCCAAAAATGGTTATATTGATTACCATTAGGGGAAAACCGAAGTGATCCCCTGCGTGTATTTAGTCATGACAACAATTGGCCTTGTGCTGAAGTGAAGTGAGCTTATGTAATGTCCCTCTGTTCAACCAGCAGAGAGTTCTGAAATTGGAGTAGAATTATCTGGCATGCCATTTTTTTTTAAATTATTTAATAAACCTGCCACCAGTTTATTTAATAAACTTGGGAAAATCTAATTTTATCCTGAATATCAGCTGGGGAATTAGACCTCCACCAGCAGGATCACCTGGGGTTCTGATTCCTGCCTGAGAACTTAACCAGAGAAATGAAGCAAGAGTTTAGGGGAACACTAATTTTTATATCCCTTTTGGAATTAAATAATTAAGTTATTTGTTTTATTATCATTGATTATCTTTGTTTCTCTTCCTCTTTTTTGCTCTTTCTCCTTTCATCTCCATCATAACAAAGGCTAATATTTAGTAAACATTATGCACCAAAAATTGTACTAAGTGCTATATAGGTCATGCTCTTGATCTAGCCTCACAAGAACCCTAAGAAGTTGGCACAATTTTTATTCCTAGTTAGGAAAAGAGGTTCAAATTGGTGAAGTGACTTGTATAAGACTCCAGGGTTATAAGCAGCAGAGCTTGAATTCAAAACCCGAGTTTTCTGACTATGGAGATGACATGGACAGAGCCTCTATAGTGCTGGCCTCTCTTCTTCCTTATTCCGATTTTGTACTTAATTTTAAAAACATCTGTACTGAGTTGCAATCCACAAACAATAAACTGCATATATCTGGATCACTGAAATTGATACCTCTCTCTCTCTTCTTTCTTCCAGATATTTTTTTAAGGAATTTATGAGGTTGATTATAACATCTTTGTGGAAATATAAAGGATCTAGAATAGTAAAACAACTTGAAAATGTAGAACCAAGTTGGAGGGTTAATATGACCTCATTATTTGCTTTTGAGACATCTTACACTACAGGAATCAGAAGAGTGTGATACCGACATTGAAAGACAAATGGATTAAGAGACCAACATGGAGACCAGAAACAAATGGCTCTTTTCCAAGCACGGGCTAGTTTCCTCCCATGCACACACTGGCTGGATCCTCTGCTGATCTCTGCTCTATTCACATTATGCTCTAAGTCATCTATGTCAGCCTCTTCTGTTTATGTCCCATCATCCTGTTTAATAACATGTTTTTGGACTGACTTTCACTTCTCATGGGGTGAGGTGAAGAGGTCAGATAGACATACGAGGAAACCAAGGCTCAGAGAGAAGGGGCAGTGTCTGGGGACACACTCACGGGTGCTGGGGGGCTGGGCACGCTGCCTGCTGGGAGGGCTGACGTCTGGGAGACAAGTCTTAGGCAGGAAACAACCACATACACCAGGTGGGAAGTGCTGGGTCCACTCTGGTGTCGTAGCAGCTGTTGACAGAAAGAGTCTGGATCCCCCTCTTTTAGGACTGTGGGGATCCAGGGTGTCAGGAGTTGGCAAACTTTGTCTCTAATGTGCCAGACAGGCGATGTTTTGGCCTTAGCAGCCACACCACTTCTGTGGAGGCGCCTCAGCCCTGCCATGTATGTGTTCAAGGCAGTCTGTGCACAATGAGCTTGGCTGTTTCTTGATACAGGCAGGCAGAACTGGGCCTGGAGCCATAATTTTTTGACCCTTAGGTGTAATGAACTTTTGGTTGTGGGAGGAAAATACTAGGACTCCAATCAGTATTTATTTTATCTCACCTTTGGTGTTTGTTTCATATGGACACGTTATAATAGCCCGGTGGTTCAGGTATGTAACTTACAGGTGAACGTGTGTGGGGGAGGCAGGCTCAAAACCTTTTCACTAAAAATCACAGGTAAATCCTGGCTGACCTCTAATGAGCAGATACTTTGTGCTATAAACACTTTAGACAGATTTATTCACTTCATCCTCACAACTACCCATGAGGAAAGCATTACATTCATCCTCACTGTGCAGACAGGAAACTGAGGCGCAGAGAGGAAGGAAGCTTTGTGATCAGAAAGCTTACCTGCTGCTCTCTGAAGTTTGGCAAGTCCAGGTCTGAGTTTGAAAGTTCTGGTTTGGGGTCTGGGATATAGAGTCATGTGGGGGCCCATATTAGTTGTTAGTTAATAAGTTAATAGGTGATTTAATTAATTAATGTTTAACCCACTTAATTAATAATCAGATGGTTAATTAATAAACACCTGATTCATGTCAGACATCATGTCAGAAACTCAGCGCTTGCTGACTTGGTCCTTCGCGCCACCATGGTCATGTGAAGAAGGGGCTGTACTTCCCACTGTATGGTTGAGGAAGCTGAGGTTCAGAGAGAGTGAGAACTGACTCAGAACGCCAGAGCTCCAGGGCAGGGGCTCCGTTAGCAGTGACATCCACCTTCTGCCTCACTCTCGGTTTCTCATACTCGGCTAACTCACTGCCTCTGGGGACTTTCCTCATGCCCTCCAAACCGAGACATTCTCGGGGAGCTGGTGTCCCACAGAGTCCATGAAACCAGGGCCTCAAAATCCCAGAGCACATGGTGGGCAGCCCAGAAGGGAGACCCTGTTCCGACCTGCACTGGATGACCTCAAGACAGCCACGCTCCCTCGGCCCTGGGCTAGAGAGCAAGCCAGGGCTCATGCGGGCAGATGCAGTTTGAATTGCAGCGCCAGGTCTTGATAAGTGAATTAAAAAGAGGAGAAAGAAGGAAGGATGGAAAGAGGTGAGGACGGGTGGAAGGCAGGACGGGGTGAAGCTGAGAAATCACTTTGTTTCATTGTCTATAAAGTGGAGATGGCACAGCCCCCCCCCCCCCCGCCCCCGACACACACCTTCGTGATGTCATGCGTATCAAGCAGGTGTGGCTGGGTCTCCTTTTCAGAGTGATTCTAAGACCAATTCTGGGGTGTTGGTGGGAGAACTGAGAGCCTTTCTCCAGCCATATGCTGGAGGGGCTCTCAGAGAACACGAGTCTGCTCGGGGTCTACAGGGTGTGGGGTTGGCTGGGATCTGAGGGACATGCCAGTGGCCCTTCTCCCTGCCTACAGTTCTGCCCCATGTAAAGGTCTGGGCACGGGCCTCCCTGGTGGCGCAAGGGGTTAAGACGCAACCTATGAAGCTGTCTGCAGCCACTGCAGCACGAGTTCAATCCCCCGGCTGGCCAGGGAGCTACCCACATGGCGCAGCAGACCCCTCCTGCCACGCCCGCTGCTCCCCTCAGCAGCGTATTTCAGTAAATCTGCCTGTTCTGCTCCCCACTCTGTCTCTGGTGAATATTCTCATCCCTCTCACCTCTGGCCTGTACCCCAGCTCTTGTATGCATAAATAAATAAATCTTTAGGGCCTCCCCGGTGGTGCAGCGGGTTGAGTGCAGTGCTGTGAAGGTGTCCGCAGCCTCTGCAGTATGGGTTCGATTCCCGGCCGGCCAGGGAGATACCCACACGGCGCGGCAGACCTCTCCTGCCTCACCCGCTGCTCCCCTCAGCAGTGTCTTTGGTCCGTGTGCCTGTTTTGCTCTCCGCTCTGGCTCTGGTGAATTCTCTCACCCTCCCGTGCCTCTGACTGTACCCCAGGTCTTGTATAAATAAATAAATCTTTAAAATAAATAAATAAATCTTTAAGCAAAAATAAAGATCTGGACAGTGGAGAACAGAGTCTAAGATTACTCTCTGCCTACCCCTTGAGTTGACTCCACAGCCCAGGCCAGGCCAGCAGCTCTGTGGCCAGGAGAGGGCCACACTTATGATGGCGGGTGTCCTATTGGGACACCTCCCCACCCTATGGTGCCCTGGGCTCTTTCTATACCACTTTGATGGAAGTTGAGTCGTGGTATCCTGCAATTGTGTGTCTTTCTCGCCCTCCCTGCTCGCTTCCTTCAACTCCCTCTCCTTTTTCAGTGTGGTAAACTCAGAGTAGTAACTCTGCGTGCTGCCCTGTGATGGAGACAGCAGGACATTCTGCTGCAGGGTTTGAAGATGAGTTGGGGGAGGCAAGTAGGGGAGGCAGAGACAAAGGGTAAGAGGACAATGGCGAGAAGGGAACGGGGAAGGAGCAGCAAAGGAGGTGAAAGAAGGAAGCGAGAAACAGGGAAAGGGTGGAGTGGGAGAAGCAGGGGAGGGAGCCGAGAGAGACAGGGAGGTGGAAGGAGAGCGGGAAAGGCAGAAAAAGACTGAGAAGGAGGAAGAGGCAGAAGAGGGAGGCTGGGCCTCTGGAGGACTCTCTAAGGCCCTGCAGCCAGTCTGGCTGATTTGGGGTGTGGAATCTACACCCAGGTCTCGCCCCGGGGAGCTCATGAATAAATACCTCTGGGTAGGAGCAGATATCTGTAAACACAGCTGAGGAATTGAAAGTCAGGTTCTTCAAGGGTATCGACTTGTCAAAATCACACCACAGCTGCGGATTAAAAAAAAAAAAAAAGAACAACAGCAACAAAAACAAAAAATAAAAACAAAAAAACAAAAAAAGAACACAGGAACAACAACGTCAGTGTGAGTGTTGGAAACTAGGGGGCGCTATCCCCACGGGGCTGCTGCTGACGCTCAGGGGGGGACCAGCGTGAGGTTGGGGGGCCGGCCTGATCTGCTTTTATTTTAAAGAAAGCGCATGCTCAGAAGGGCCTTTGCAAGCCACAGCAGCAGACTGGACTGGTCACTGGCACTGTCACGCAAGGTCACTGGGCTGGTGCTTGGCTCTGGGGGGCTCATAGAGAGAACTGGGGCCCAAGAGGAAAGGTCTGGGGTTCTGGGGTTTGCTCACATGTCTCCACATCAACAGCTGGGACCGTTCCAGGGGCCTGTGGGGGCACATTTTCCAGAAAGACTCAGCTCATGGAGGGGAGGGGGAAGCGGGCGTTTCCTAGACCAGAAACTGCTGCTGGGCTTTGTGGCACTCAGAAAGATTTTGCACCATAGACTCTCTGCCTCCTCTGTGCCAGACACTTAATATGAACAGGCCTCACAACCCCCTGGTGATGTAGCTACCAATGGCATCCCCATTTTACAAGCTAAAGACAGGGAACTCTGAGATGTAGAGAAACTTGTCCAGGGTCACCCGGCTGGTAAGCGATGGAGCTGAGACTTGAACACAAGCTCATCTGACTCCACAGCCTTGGAACTTACTCCCACACTACTGTGGCATGGATTGCCCAGAGGCAACCCTGACCTAGATCGTGGAGCTGACTTCCAAATCTGTAGCCCAGAGACATCCGATCCGTCAAGACTTGCGATCCTGGCTACAACCTCACATGCTGTGACCAGAAACCCCATGGTCTTCCATGGTCAAAATCTATGAAATGTTCATTAGCTAATGAATGCACCTTTATCCCCCAGAGTCCTTTACCATAAGGCCAACCACAGAGTGGAGTGACGTTACAGAGCAGACGTTACATAATTACTGGACCATTTGGCAAAGGATTTTAGGCAGGATAAGCCTCCAACCATGGCTGATCACTGAGTGGGGCACGGTCCCTGAGCCTTTGGAGACCCGCCCTCAGGCCCAAAGGGCACAGGATGGGGTCAGCCAGCAGAAGATGCCTCAACTGGCCTCTCTCGATGGGCATGTTCTAAACCTGCAATCAGATAAATCGTTCCCCTATCTAGATCCCTCAACTATGGGCAACACAGACTGTAGGTACACAGAAAATGCCTATTGCTACCAGGTTATCTTTCTAGAGAGAGAGAGAGAAATCAAAACATGAATCACCAAATTAAAAACAAGGATGAATATGGCAGTTGGAGCTTCATCTGAGTCTGAGGTGTCACACCCACTGTGAACTCACTGGCAGCTCAGCCTCCTGAAATGCAGCTTCCTCATCCTTCACATGACAACCGTGATACCTACCTGCAGCACACCGCAGGCGCTCAATAATGACAGCTATTGGGTCTCCATCCCCAGCCCCTGGCTCCCGGAGGTACAGGTCAGCGTTTTTGAATGAGCATGAGTCATGGAGTCAGACAGACCTTCTTAGCAAGTCACGTCATGTCTCTGAGCCTCGGTTTCCTCAGCCATAAAGTGGGGACAATGAGACTTACCTCACCGGGTTTGTGTGAGGATTAAATAAGAAAAACACAGGCAGCTTCTCCTTCAATGCATGGCACACAGCAGGTAGGGACTTAGTATGTGCTAACTAAAGTCACTTACGATGAGAATAGATTGGCCATTGACAGCATAGAACATTAGGGGTGTCTGGAGTTCCTTTGCAGTAGATGACCTCCCCCACTGGGAAAAAGACAATCTGCCACCAGCAAAATGCCCAGTTGTGACAGGAGCCACGTTAGTGTTCTGTCCCTAAGCTTGGGGCTGGAGTGGGCACAGGAAGGTAACAGGTACCTAGACAGGCAAAGCAAGAAGCTGCAGGCTCCATAAACTCTTAGTTCACGACTGTCCAGTAGACACTGGAGGGCTGATGGGCTTGGGATGCTTACGATATTTAGGATGGCGCCCAGGAAATTAATCAAGATGGATGCAAAGATGATGACGTTCCGCGCCAAATAGGTCTCGTTAATCCAACAGCAAGTTTTCCGGAGGACGAGGGGCAAACACTTGTAATCCTCTGCTGTGGTGATGAGGACCAGCGCCGAGTGCAACATAATCAGGATGGAAAACTGGATGGCCACTGGCATCAGCCTGCAGGGAAGCAGAGAAGGCTGGGTCACGTGCCGTCAGCATGCGTGAGGCCGGCAAGCAAGTCCCTCCACTGTCGCCCTTCCCCACACTTTGCACCCTGTAATTCCTCTAAAGGTCTGTCTGTTCAAGAGAAGCATTGCTAGTGGGAGACATTTTTAAAAATTTCTTCCATCCACAGAACACTCTCGATGGAGAAACTCTGTAATGGACATCAAATGATTGACTTGATGTGTTGCTCCTGCCTTTTATTTTGCTTTTGCTCCTTTCGTCACTCATCTTTCTCACCAGAAACTGCTGCCAAGGCACACCCCACTGGACTGTCATCCCAACCCTCTCCTCTTCAAGATGGGTTTCCATCTCATGCCAAGAATGAACTTGGCACCTGTTCCGAGTTGCTGTTTAGTGAGTGATCACAGTGGCTTGCATGGAGTGATTGCAATGACCTGCCATCCGTGTGAGACTCCCCTTTACCCAAGATTTCAACATCGCTCCCAACTCCTTCACCCCCAACTACAACTCTAGAGCCCAAGCTCCAACTTAAACTCTGTCCTGCGGAACGTCCTGCCTACTAGACACCTCTTCTGGGCATCAAGTTGCTTCTAGCAACTTGACCTAATCCCTATGTCTGGAGGCCCCTGTGATTGCTCCCTCTCCTTATCAACCCACCCACCACTGGGTGCATTGCTTCTCCTTGGGGATTCACCCCTTGTTCTCCTTCCCCCATCCAGCCATGGGTGTCCATGCTGACATCCCGAATTTCTTGACCCCTACTTCAGTCCGCAAACTGCTGTGTGTAAAGGTGCCGTTCATCACTGGGCTGTCACACCTTCCACGGGCCGGTGCTCAACGCGCCTGTGCTGAGTGAGTGAGACTGGACCCCCCTGACACCGCACCTCGCCACCCTCTTGCCCGACTCTTCTTATTTCTTCTTGATAACACCCGGGCCAGCCATGTACTGAGCGCTGACTGCATTAAGCACAATTCTAAGCCCTTTATATGTAATATCGTATTTGCACTTCTCACAACAAACTTAAGAGGTGTTTTCATTTCTTTTTCCAGAAGAAGATTTATGGTTCAGTGAGAAGCAACTTCCCAGGCACAGTGAGTCGTAAGGGTAAGAGTCATAATTTAAAATCTACTCTGCTACGCCACTCTGCTATTCTGATTCGGTGAGTGATAGATTCGTCCATGTTGGCAATAATCTTTTCTGCTCCTGTGGCTTCATCATGACATTTGTTCATCCAACGTGTTTTCTTCCCAGGCACAGTGGTAGGCACTGGGGCTACCTGGACTCAAAACACACCCTTCCCATGTCCTGGGAGATCAAAATCCAGAGGGGAGTGTGGACCCACAAATGGTGAATGGTTATACAATGTGCCATCCGCTAGAGAGGACCGGGAGTAGCGATCACTTAGCAACTAGGAAAGGGAATCAAGGGAGGCTTCACAAAAGAGGTGACCCGAAGGTCAGGCTTTGGAGATTAAAGAGGAGTTGCCTAAGGAGGGAAGAGGGTAAAACAGCAGAAGAAAGACGGTGACCCGTGTGTTTGGTTTTCCAGTGGTGAGAGAAGTACTCCGCCTGCAGCTGTGAGCTGACATCGAAGGTGTTGAATCCGGGAAGGCCTTGGTGGGATCTGTGCATCTAAAAGAATTGTAGCGGGAGGTGGGGGATGGGATGAAGAGGCGAGAAAGTATTTAGGAGAGGATTTAAGTAGCTGAGTCATCGTGGGAGGAATATATGGTGACAAGCCTGATAATGGGGGGCTCAGGAAAAGATGTGGAGGTGATCTTTACAAGTGTTGTGCACATGTGGGGGGCAGGGTTGGGGGAGGGGAGTCATGAGGATGAAGCTCATGTTTTCACCATTCTAATGGGGGCAGTGCGGGGAGAGCCGCTCGTCTAGCAGGGTTGCGGGTGATGACTGTGATCTGGACAAGGCGAATTTTCAGCGCTTTGGATCAGCAGTGCGTCGCAGCTTCCTGTCAAGCTGTCAGAGCCACAGCTGGGGAGTATATTGGGGTCTGAAATGAAAAGGTTGGTGGCTCGAGATCTGAGAGTAGAGGGATTTTCAAACCGTTGGGAGTAACTAATGGATTGAAAGAAGACAAGGAATACAAGGAACTCGGGAGGTGTCCAAGAGGCAGGAGGGGGCGTGCCTGGCTTCATGAGACCAGGGGATAAGGCATTTACAAGGAGGGAGTCACCAAGTATGGCGCCGCCTCCTGCATGGCCCAGCATCACGGGAGGTGGACAGCCCTCAGCGTCATGTCCCAGCTGTCATCGTTGGAGCCTTTTTTTTTATTTTTAAAGTATACTTCTACAGTTTTGATTCTCTGGCTCACCTTGACAAGACATGTCTGCAGGAGTTCTAGGTAAGAACAGAAGGTCTGTGCAGTAGTGGGCTCCTGGAGGATTCTAGGCAGATGGGAAACTGCCCCCAAACAGGCTGGAAAATACTCCCTGCCAGCATACATATTATTCCTGGGCACCAGGGGAGGCAAATGAAGGAGCAGGCAGGTGGGTCGCTTTGTCAGGCAGTCCCGGGAGAGAAGGGGCCCACCCAGAGGCTGATGTGTCTCCACAAGGTGAGACAGCCATGGAGATGATGAATACCTATTTCAGGTGTGAGGCAGGGGAGACCAGGCACAGGTGAGTTTGGAAGCTGCTCAGCAGGAGCTCCAAACTCTTCCAAAGTCATCAAGGTCATCCAGGTATCATCTAGGGACCCAGTGCAGGGCTGTGAACCCAGGCCAGCCCTGGTTCTCTCTGCCTCTTTCTCATGTCTCCACACTTCACAGCAACACTGAAGCACATCCCCTAAACTTGTGCTGCTTCTACCTCTGTGTGTTCTTCCAGAAGCCTGGTGCTCCCCACGCCCCTAGAAGGACATCCTGCTCACCCTGGGAAACTCAGCATTTCTTTGGATTCTTCCACGACACCTGGCATAGGGTTGAGTGTTGAGTATCCAGAAAATGTTTAATAACTGCTCACTGGCTTATGCTACTTGTGGGGAGAGAAGACTATGACATCCCTCTCCAGTCCTCAGAGGGAAGAGAATTTCCACCCAAACTCCCAGCTCTTCTCTCTATCCTCGTGTTGAGTCCTCCCCAACGAGAAGGGCCACGCCAACTAGCCAGAGTATCTGGGATGTTCAGTAGACCTTGTTCTTGACGAGCAAGGTCACTGTTAAGTCAACATTTCTACAAATTTAAGATGCTCCTCTTTCCTCCCAGATCCATGGGGATGGGGCTGGGAAGCCAGAATGCTGACATTCCCTATGGCCAACTTTTCTTTTTGGCCAGGCTCTCTCTTCCTTTAAGTAAGAAAGCTCAGGACACCCCTGTCCTCCACCCAGCCCTCCCCAGCCCCCCTGGAAATCCTTATGGGCACCTTCTCAGGTCTGCCTCACTTCTTCCTTCGACACCTGGGGTGGGGAGGCACCTTGTGTTGGTCCTTCCAAGCATCATGACAGTAAGATCCACACTGGAGTGAGAAGGTGGGGGTGAGGTGGGAGGCAGCAGACATTCAGGATAGACACCATGTGGTCTCTTGACTTAGTCACAGTTTCTAGTTCAGCTTTTCACCAGAGTTTTGCATCGATAAATCAAGCATTTGCTTGGAAATTTATAAAATGGATGCTTTGTTGCCCATTTAGCTATTGTGCTTTTGATATACTTTCGGTGGGGTGTCTGGGAGGGCTGGATCCTGTAAGGAACGGTTTTCTTGCAGAATCCACCTGAGAACCTCATGTAACTTTAAACTGTCAACACTTCCTTCTGAGTTGTTGAATCAGTAGAGGAGGAGGTACTAGGGGCTGAATGTTTGTGTCCCTGGAATTCAGATGTTGAATTCCAATACCAGTGTGATGGGATCTTTGGGAGGTGATGAGGTCATGAGGGTGGGGTCCTCAGGAGTGGGATTATTGCCCTTGTCAAGGAGGATCCAGAGAGCGCCCTTGCCCCTTCCACCATGTGGAGACAAGGGGAGGATGTTGGGGGAAAGGACGTCCTGAGCAAACTCCACACAGGCTTTGTGGACTCCACCCCGAGCCAGACGAAGCCATCAAGATGCTAGAAATGACAAATCCCATCATCACCAAAGGGAGGGTTGCTGGGACCTGCAGGTGGGGTTAATCTGCCAGGTTTGGTATAAAACCAGACACGTGGGCCTTGGGGCTCTCTTGGCCTCCCAGCTCTTGGCTCTTTGCCAGCTCTCAGCGTGCCATTGGGATTCCAGGTCAGCGGAAGGGGTAGGACACATTCATGAGTTTACCTCCCTCTTTTTCTCCCTGAGTTATTCATTTCATCATTTTCCCTTTCTTTTGCAAATAAACCTTTTATTAACCTTTTGTGTGAGGCTGCAGTTGAGTATTAATAAGTTCCTTTTAAGCGCGCGGGTGAGGACCCACAGTCAGGTAACCCATTTTATATCGGGGCTGCCCTGTAACAAGGAGACTCCCTGTGATCCTGGAAGAGACCTCACTGGATCCTGAATCTGCCTTGATCTTGGATTTCCAGCCTCTAGAATTGTGAGAAATACATTTCATTGTTTATTAGGCAACCAGTCTCTGTTATTACTATTATTTTAATAACTGCCTGGACTAAAGAGGAAGGCAGGCGTGTGATCCAGTGGCAAGAGCATACCCAGCATGTGCGACCGTAGCTCTGAAACGTGAGCAGTAACACAGCATGGCCAAAGTAAGGAAGTCTTTGAACCTCATGTTTTCATCTGCAAAACTGAGATTTTTAAGCCCACCTCTTAAAAGAAGCTGTGAGGTTCCAGTAATAAAGCTGTACAGTGCTTCGCACATACTAAGAACTCAAAGGAACATCACTCTTCTCTATACACAGTAAAATCCAGGAAATCAAAAAACATTTTAAAGATCCCTGGGAAGAGTGTTCCTCCAAAGACAGGTTTTCTAAACAAGCTGCTGAAAGTCCTCTGGAAATCTCTGTGCTATCTCCTCAACATTCATTTATCTCTGTAGACACAAACATTCCA